TCCTCAACAAATATTAGCAAACCAAATTCAACTATACATTAATAGGGTCATACACCATGATCAAGTGGGATTTATTCCAGGGATGCAAGAATGGTTCAACATCCTTAAATCAATAAATGTGACACACATTAACAATAAAACATTAAAGGATAATTACCATATGATCATCTCAATAGATGCGGAAACAGCATTTGACAAAATTCAATACCCATTTATGATAAAAATGTTCAATAAATTGGGTAGAGAAGGTAACTTAATATAATAAAGGCCTAATATGACAAGCCCACGTCATACTCAATGTTGAAAAGCTGAAAGCATTTCCTCTAAGATTAGGAACAAGATAGGATGCTTACTCTCATCACTTTTACTCAAAATAGTATTGGAAGTCCTAGCCAAAGCAATTAGACAAGAAAAAGAAATAAAAGGTATCTAAATCAGAAAGGAAGAAGTAAAACTGTCACTATTTACTGATGACATGATACTTAATATATAGAAAACCCTAAAGATTCCACCAAAAAACTATTAGAACTAATAAAGTCAGTAAAGTTGTGGGATACAAAATCAATATATAAAAATCTTTTGCATTTGTACACACTAATAATGAGTTGTCAGAAAGAGAAATTAAGAAAACAATCCCATTTATAATTGCATCAATAAAAAATACCTAGGAATAAATTTAACCAAGGAGGTGAAAGATCTATACACTGAAAACTATAACACATTAATGAAAGAAATTGTGCTCATGGATTAGAAAAATTAATATTGTTAAAATGTCCATGCTACCCAAAGCAATCTACAGATTCAATGTTATCCCTATCAAAATTCCAATGGCATTTTTCACAAATATAGAACAAACAATCCTAAAATTTGTATGGGATCACAAAAGACCCTGAATAACCAAAGCAATATTGAAAAATAACAAAGCTGGAGGCGTCATATACCCTAATTTCAAACTATACTACAAGGCTATAGTAATCAAAACAGTATGGTATTGGGATAAAAACAGACACATGATTAATAGAACAGAATAGAGAGCCCACAAATAAACACACACACATATGGTCAATTAATTTATGACAAAGAAACCAAGAATATACAATGGGGAAAGGACAGTCTTTTCAATAAATGGTGGTGGGAAAACTGGACAACCACATGCAAAAGAATGAAACTGGACCATTATCTGACACCATACACAAAAATTAACTCAAAATGGATTAAAGACTTGAATGTAAGACCTGAAACCAAAAATTCCTAGAAGGAAACATAGGCAATAATTTCCTTGATATTGGTCTCAGTGATGATTTTTTGGATTTGATAACAAAAGCAAAGGCAAAAGTAAACAAGTAGAACTACATTAAACTAAAAAGCTTCTGCACAGCAAAGAAAGCCATCAGCAAATGAAAAGGCAACCTACTGAATGAGAGAAAATATTTGTAAACCATATATCTTATAAGGAGTTACTATCCAAAATAGATAAAGAATTTGTACAATGAAATAGCAAAAACAAAACAACAAAAAGCTCCAAATAATCCAATTAAAAAATGGGCAGAGGATCTGAATAGACATTTTTCCAAAGAAGGCACACGGATGGCCACTAGATACATGAAAAGGTGCTCAACATCACTAATCATCAGAGAAATGCAAATCAAAACCACAATGAGATATCACTTCACACCATGTTAGACTGGTTATTATAAAAAAGACAAAGAATAAGTGTTGGCAAGGATGTGGAGAAAAAGAAACTCTTGTGCACTGCTGGCAGGAATGTACATCAGTGCAGACACTATGAAAAACAGTACAGAGGTTCCTTGAAAAATTTAAAACAGAACTGCCATGTGATCCAGCAATTCCACCAGTGGGTACTTGTCTGAAGAAAATGAAAACACTAACTTGAAAAGATATATGCACTCCCCCATATGTATTGCAGCATTATTTAAAATAGTCCTGATATGGAAACAACCTAAGTGTCCATAGATGGATGAACGGATAAAGAAGATGTGGTGTACACACACACACACACACACACACACACACACACACTGAAATATTATTCAGCCATAAAAAATAAGGAATCTTGTGATTTCTGACAGCATGGATGGACCTTTGGAGGAATGTGCTAAATGAAATAAGCCAGACTGAGAATGACAAATACCATATGATCTCATTTATCTGTGGAATCTAAAAAGGAAACAAAACAAAATCAAGCTTGTAGATACAGAGAACAGATTGGTGGTTGCCAGAGGCAGGAGGTGGGGGGTGGGCAAAATGGGTGAAGGTGGTCAAAAGTTACAAACTTCCAGTTAAAAAATAACTCAGTCCTGGGGAGATAATGTACAGCATGATGACTATAGTTAATAACACTGCATTTGAAAGTTGCTAAGAGAGTAGATCTTAAAAGTTTTCATAAGAAAAGAAACCCAACTTTGTAACTATACTGGGNGGAGCCATGGCCGTGTTGGGTGGGCATGTGGTCCTGCCTTCTGTGTGTCCCCCTTGCCCACCTCCTCCACCTTGTTTTCATTCCTGTCTGCTTCAGAAATAAGTTCTAAATAGAGGCTCTAGGTCCTGTCGCTCTGGGTGGGCACGGTGAGGAAGGGGACCAAGGACATTAAAAACTCTCATGGTCAGAGGTCAGTGGAGCATGGTGGAGACTCACTGCAGGAGGACACATGGAGTGTAGATTTCTGAACTCTACTCTTGTCTTTACCACTCTGCTAATTCACTGTGCCTTCTAGGGCCTGCCTCTCTCCACTGTTTCCCCTCCTGTGACATGAGTTGTGCCTGTGGTCTCTGGTTCCTGCCAGCTGCAGCAGTTCCTGATTCTAAGCAGCCAGTAAAGGGGCTTGGATGGGGATCCCTATACAAGGAACTGCTTGGCACCTGCCAAGGGAGATGAGGAGAGTGTCCTTTTCCTGAATAATGACCTGAAATTTAAGCTGAGACAGACACTAGCTGTATTTAGTAACCAGGGACATGAGGTGACGCTCAGGGGAAGCCTTACACAGACCAAGAATGTGATCCCCAAATCTGGGTAGAATTCTTTGTAGATGGGCGGTTAGCACCTCTTGCAGTGGCTTCCCAAGAGAGTAGTGAAAGAGGAGGTACAGAGAGAAGGACAGGCTGAACGGCTGGACTGCAGAAAACCCTGGCATCTTACCCGGAGCCGCACCAACTGCGTGACAGAAGGCTCATTCTCTCTCAGGGCACCCATGTAGGCATCCTTCTGAAAGGTGGGCACGTTGTCATTGACGTCCAACACATTGATCCTGACCCGGCCTGTGGTCTCCTCACCGCCCCCATCCCTGGCGATGACTGTCAAGGTGAAGCGCTGGATGAGCTCATAGTCCAGTTTGGCAATTAGCAAGATAAGTCCTGTGTCCTTGTCCAGAGAGAACCTGTGTTAGGCAAGAAGGAGGGAGAGAAAGGACACGCTGGTGTAAACCACCTTGTAGATAAGGGCCTGCATTTACCAGCCTATCCTTGCTCAACGTGATGAACAGAGACAAAGAAATGAAGTCTTAAATCTGCCTTCTTTTTCACTTGCTCTAATTGAGAAGAACAGAGATTTCTAATGGGGGTGGGGTGGGAGGTGGTGGGCAGGAATCAGAACCACATGAGGGATGGTGTGGTCAGGTACCGGAAGGGCAGGAGTAGGTTGATTAACTCAAAGAGAAAGCTCAGGAAGAACGACCCTCNGCCTTGTGGTCTTGACTTAGGTTTGCTGGCTGCCTGAGACGTGCCAGGCCCAGGGCTGAGTCCACCAGGTGGTAACTCTTCTGGTGGTGATGAAAGCCCCACTTTACAGATGAGCAAACCAAGCTCAGAGAGGCCCAAGAACTTGCCCAAAGACATGCAGCTAGCAACTTGACACAGTGGGATTTGAGCCCAGGTTGTTCTGAATCCAGAGCCTGGGCTCTTTTGCAGTAGGAGTTACTCCGGCCTGCCTGTCTATCTGTCTGTCTGTCTCACCCACTCATCCTGCACTCCTCATCAGTCTGGAAGCTGCTCACAGGACAGGGTCATGCCCCAGGCTCTCTAATCCTGCCCCTGTTACCCCTCCTGATCCCCTTCAGATAAGCGCAGAGCTCACCCATTCATTTCCCAGGGTCAAGGTTGCCGGGGGAAAGGGGACAGCAGCGCCCTCCTTGGCCTCCTCTTGCCCTGTCTTTTCCTCTCATTGCCTTTCTCCCCTCTTCTCTTCTCTATCCTTCCCCTCCTCCTTTACCCTAAAGCTCTTCAGGCCCTTTTAGTGGTCGCTCTTGGGCACTGTTTAGACCCCTTGGAGGGACACTCAGGGTGTCATGTTGCAGATTTTACCCTCAGCAGAACTCTGCTAGAAGGTGGGTGAAGACCCCCAACACCAAAGNCTACTGTTATGAATCGTAATGTAAATATCTTTTTGTTTTCCGATGGTCTTAGGCGACCCCTGTGAAAGGGTCGTTCGACCCCCAAAGGGGTCGCGACCTACAGGTTGAGAACCGCTGATCTACACACTCTTGTTTAACCAAGGTTACTGAATTAATCACCAGTCATTATTCTCTTCCCTGCTAGACTGTACCTGCCAGAGAGTAGGGAACAAATGCCTAGCAGAGCATCTGCACACACTAGGTGCTCTGTAAGTAACTGTTGGCTGGCAGATAACTGGCAGATAATCTCCAGGGGCTCCCCTCACTTTCATGGGAAACAGATTGAGAGGGCCATGGGCTTCCCAAATTCATGTGCACAATGGGGTCTGCACACCGGTCGGTGCCATGCCTGCTGGCTTCCTGAGTTTATACCCTCCCCTGCTCGGGCTGTACCTGCCATGATGCTCTCCACCACGGAGACGGTGTAGGCAGGCTTGCTGAAGGTGGGAGGGTTGTCATTCTCATCCTGGAAGGAAAAGAGAAAGATTGCAGGAGCCAGGGAGGCAGTGGGGGCTGCTCAGCTGTCCCAGGCAGGCACCAAGAGGAGGCTGGGCACAGCTGGCACTAAGGCGCTCTGGCTGAGCTTACAGTTCAAGGAAGCAAGACAGGCCTCGTGGGGGTCAGGAAGGGATGCTGAGGAATGGGGAGATGAAGAAGTAAGGCAGCAGCTGGAACTGCCTAAAACTCCCAGGTCTCCTGGCTCTCCCTGTCAGTCTTCCAGCTGAGCTCCAAGCTGACTCCAGTTCTCCCACTTTCGGCTCATCAGCCCCAACCCTGAGATGCCCACTCAGAACTTCTCTACCAGCTCTGCTGAGATGATGGTGGAAGGTTCTAGAAACCCTCCTGGGAATGAAGGGAGAAAAGAACACCCCAGCCCAGAAGATACTGAAGGGTGGGTGGTTTCCAGGCCTGAATTCCAGCCCCTCTGCACACACACAAGAACATGGCCTCTCCACCCGCTGGCAAATCCTGGCCCAGAACTCGCCCCCTTCAGCTCTGAAGCAATCCCTCCTCTGGCCCAGCCTCCACCAGTGACCAGGTGAGAGGGACACTGGCCAGGGGCTGATGCTGGGCTTAGGGGCTGAACCGGCAGGGTGGGCCCAGGAGCAGGCGCTGCCTCCTCCTGCTCCTGCAATCACCATCTCCCTCCACTANTTCTTTGTATTTTGGTATAACAAAACTATGGCAGTAACCCTGGTAGTGGTATGCTGGCAAATGCTCGACACCCAGCTCAACAAAAAGAAGTAAAGGCATTTGCCAATTTCCATGGCACAAATATTCCCACTCAGGCCCATTTTAAACCACTAACTTGATGGCATTGAACATGGAGTTGGGAAGTGGCATATGCAATTGTCTCTTGTGAGCAGGTGTGAGCTAGTACCAGCCAGCGTCAGGACACGATGGTCCTAAATAGCTGGGTCACTTAACCATCTCATGGGAACCACAGGAAAGAGTCTATGCTTTGAGGACAGTGAGACCCAGATGCGAATTCTGATGATGATTCTTTTCCAGAAGCTCAGCCTTGGGAAAGTTACTGAATTTCTTTAAGCCTCAGTTTTCTCATCTGTAAAATGGAGATTACTACGCCTTCGAATCAGAGCCATTGTGAGGATTAACTAACAATAGGGGACGCTCCCAACACTCAGAAAAGGCTCGTTTTCTTCCAGTGGATTGTAAGAGTTCTCCAAGGGTAGGCACGCTGTGCCATCCATCTTTTTATCCCCATTGCCTGAGCTGTGTGTCCTGGGGCAAGTTACGTGGTTTATTCTCCCATGAAACAAGGGAGCTGGGTTAGACGGTTGCTGTCACATTTCCCTCCGTGGCATGCTGGCCTGTCCTCTGGTCTGTGCAGGGCTGAGAGGGGAGCTGAGGGTGGGGGATAGGGCAGCGAAGGTGCGAAGGCCGGGAATGAAAGGCTGGCAGAGGTCTGCGCGCTGAGCCATGTTCCTTGCTGGGGTGGTGTCGATTAATTGGCAGGGCGAGGAAGAAATTAATCTCTAAAAAGTTTTAAACGTGAACTTGTCGGCATGATAGATGGCTCTTCCTGTCTGGGAAATTAGATCCAATTAAGGCCACCTTTGTGGAGCAGTGCTGGCTAATTTGACCGAGGAGCTCAGAGGAAAACGCTTACACCTTCGAGGCTAAAGGAGCTGTGTTAAGGCAGCAAGAAAATGTCCGTGTCATTATTAAAGGCCCCAGGGTGGAGATGGGGTCCCTGACTGGGGACGCAGCGCGGGGTACTGAAAGGTCAGTGTGCCTGCTGCTCTATCTGGTTGGCGGCACGAGGCTCTAACATGGCTCTCTATAATGTAGCATTTAAAGTCTGGGTTTCGGAGTTGGAAGGTCTGTGAGTCCTCAGTCAAGTCAACTTAATGTCTCCTGTGCCTCAGTTTCCTTATCTGAAAAATGGGGGCAATGCTAGTCCCTGCTTCAGGAGGGGTGAAGGAAGTGAAATGGGGTGATGCTGGTCAGAGCCCTTAAAAGCATGCTGAGCACGTTAATGTTAATTAACGATATTACTCTGAGCCCCCCTGGAAATGTGGGCTCGCTGAGGGTGGGTGCTCCTGAGAGCACTTGTCAGAGGTGGAGAGAGAGGCTCAGGGTGGCCCGGGATGTGTTCAGTCTTTGTACACATCAGCACCCACCATCTGCTTCCCAGGCTCGTAGGAAAAGAGGGGGAAAGAGATTGAAGGTGAAGACTACAACCAGAGAGGCATGGACGACAGGAAGACTCAGTGCCCCACTGGCCCTTGATCATCTGTGGCAAGGATGGCCAGTGTCCACCAAAGATTCTTGCTCCCGTCCCAGGATAAAAGGATTGCTGCAGAGTGACTGCCAGGCCAGGGACAGTGTTCCCCCAGCCTTCTTTTCATCTAGGCAGGGCCATTGCTTGGTTCTGGGCAATGGGACGTGAGCACAAGTGACGTATGTCCCAGGCCTGGCCCATAAACATCTTTTATACAATACTCCATGCTCTCTTTTTCCTTCTGCAGTGACCTTGGAGCCACTACATGGACGGGGCCTGGAGCCCCGAATCGCCACATGGCAGGCTGTCCACTGAACAAGCACTGGACTGCTGGGTGAGTTAGAACTGTGTTCTATTCTGTTGAGCAGCTGAGAGTTCAGGGTTTGCCTGTTTAGCATCTATAGTTCCCTTACTTAAGTAGCCATAGAAATGGGTACTTAGAAGTGGGGTGTCCTGCATGCCCGCTAAGCATGTGAGGGCAGGGCCCTGTCTTATTCCATCCTGTATCCCAGCACCTAGCACAGCACTAGCAGATATCCACTGATAACTGAATAAACGTGTGAACGAATGTCCAGGGGCCTCATACTCCTTCCCAGCTTCTGGCTGAAAAGCCTTAGGTTTCTTGCCGCTTTTCTTCTGCCCCCCTTCCCTCCCAGCTTCAAGGAGGAAAGAAAGTTGCAGGGAGGCATATGGAAAAAAGAAGAAGAAAGGGGAGAGTTACATGGGTTGAGCAGGGAGCTGGGACCGGTGAAAAGACCAATCAGAATGATGGTAACAACCTAATTTGGTTAGCGCTTACTATGTGCCAGGGACTCCTGTAAGTGTGTTCCCTATAATGACGCGCTGCATTTACACAACAGCCCTACTATGACCATCATCGTTTTGCAGGTGGGGGAACCGAGGCACACGGTGTGAGGGGAGGAGCTAAGGCTCAAGAATGAGGTTGGCAGTTGAAGGAGGGGACACTTAGGCGTGAAGAAAGGTGTCCCTGAAGAGTGGTGTTTGCCAGATGTTTGTAAAATTGAATACACTTTAAACACAACAGGACTCTTCATCATTGAAAGACATTTTTTAGTGGATAAACACATGTTGTGATTTTTTTTTTTTTGGTAAAATCAGTACTCTCACTCAAATTAATAGTCCAGGGATAAAACCTGAAAGATGTGGGCTTCCTGTGAAAGGGAGGGGAGCCTGGC